TTAAATTTTCTTTATTTTTTAATATAAAGTTCTCGACGTTGTCTAATTTATCTGTAGCAGTTTCACGTTTGTCTATTTACTTATTCCTAAACTTTTTTCAATTTACTTCAACTTTTTTCAATTTTTTCAATTTTTTCAATTTTTCAATTTACAATTTACTGCTAAAGTGCAATATTAATTTTTGTAACTTTTCACAACACTTGCTACTTATCTTTGCTAAACATTTGTATTTAAAAATCAAAAAAATTTCTGAGATAGCTAAGCAATTTTTGTTCATACGTTTCAATAATTTTATTGCCTAAAATAGTTGAAAAAAGACTTTTGTTCAGTAATCAGCTGTAAACTAATAGCTGTTATCGGTAACATAAATTGTAAAAACAAAAACAATTTTATGATTTTTACACATAATTTTGACGAGCAAGATAAAATTTCTGGTTTTAAGAGTCGTCCTAACCAAAAATAAAACATTTTATTAGTTTATAACTTCTAATCAATGAGGAATCATTAAAAAAACAGGCATAAAAGTATTCAGTCTCTTCATTTTAAGCATAGTGAAAATATTATATCGCTGGTATCTGTATTTTTTGACCTGTTCTTCTTGTTGCTAAATTTTATAACATTTTTTCTTAAATTTCAAACCGCTGACCTTATTTATCGATAAGAAATTTGAAAGGGTTTTGACAAACACTTTTTATAGCTTAACAATTATTTAATTTCATTTGCTCACCGACTCTGCTTTCGTTGAACTGTTAGTGCTGTTTTTTTCCTCAAATTACTGTTTTTTTTTCAATTTCTACTGATGTCGTCGGAAAATGTTGTTCAATGAAAAGCTTCAGCAGAATTTTGTCGCCAGTGATCTATCATCGTTAGTAATATAACGTCCAGAAACAAGACGCCGAAAATCAGCAGTAGTATAATTTGGCATCAAAATCTTTGATGTATCAAACAGTTCAAGGTATTAAGGGTATTCGATAAGTGATATACGAAACAGAAAAGTTTGTAATACAAAAATCTGGTGTTTGCAAATTCAACAAGCTGTCTATTCGTAAGGCAAACACTTTTTTATTTTAAGATTAAATTTTTTTTATTGAAATAAAAAATTTCAGCGAAAGTTCAAACATGACAGTTTCGTACATTTACGACATAGCAACAGCAACATTTTGGCAACAGTGGAGAGTGTTGTTCTACTGGAAAGGAAGCTTGTGGAAAGCAGTATATCTTGAGATTAGTGCATGGATAATCATTTATGCCCTTTTATCCATAATCTATCGTTGTTGCTTATCTGACCCTCAGAAGGAGTTAGTTTGCTTCTTTTTTTTTCAATTTTTACATTTCTGTAGTTTGTCTGCTTAATCTTAAAACTTTAATATTTTGTGTCTCATAGCACATCTTAAAAATTATAGACAAATGAATTAGCTTTTGCAAGACAATTAGAAAATTTATTAGTAAAACATACAAGACAGATATTCGATTTATTGCATAGACTGTGAAAGTTGAGGAGATCGAAGTAAACTATTGTTTTTCAAATCTAGTAGAGAGTATTTCTGAAAACATCGATCTTCTCAATTGGTGCTTTAAAAAATTACGCACTAAACAGAGTATAATTATACCACAAGTTTTTTCTTTTCACTACTATACACTTTTGACTTTCAAATAGACTAAGGTGAGTAACCAAACTTTTTTTATGTTTGTTTTTGGTGTTTCACTCTCCAAAATGCTAGGTGAAAGATAGGTAATGCTAGATAAAATTGGCGCTTGTAGCTATTTTTTATTACTGACTGTTTCAGAAAAATTTATTTGTATAAATTAGGATTAAAAATAAAAATAGATAAGTATTAAAAAATTTCAAAAATTAATATTTTGGGCATATTTATATGCTCGTTTGATACAACTTTAAAACACTGATGTTTTTTAAAAACTAGTTCTTATTTTAATTACTGTTGAAGTGTACAAATTCTCAGTGTTTCTGTTCTTCCTTTTTTTGATTTTCTGATTTTCATGAGTGAACAAAAGTATAAACATAATTTTATTACATCGGTTAAAAAACTTTGAAGATGAATTATTCCTCAGTATCATTTTATTCTTGTGAAATTTTTAAAGTGTTGCTGGGTATTGCAACGTCTGTTATAAATTTCCTATCTAATATCACTTCTAGAACGTTTGAGCTGGTGGTGGAAATGCTAGATAAACTAAATGATCGTATTCCCTTAACATTCATGCTTGGATTCTATGTTACAAACGTTGCAAGTCGTTGGTGGACAATTATTATGAACATTGGTTTCACTGATAAGTAAGTTCAACGATAAACTGAAATAATTAACTGCGATCTGTAGATAGGTGATCTAAAGCTGTAAGGACGATAGTATTATTTTCTACACCAGCGATTAACTGTAAAAAACTTATATTCAATAACTTACAGCTAAAATAATAAAACTTAAAGTTTTTTACATTAAACTAAATAATTGATAATAAAAAATAAAACGTGTTGTTAATTTGAAAATTATGTTGTTTAAACTTAAAAATTTTAAGATTTATTAACAAAATTTATCCTGCTGCATAGTTTCTAATGTTAAAAATAAATAAGTCGAAATTTAGTTTGATTATGCTTGCTGGCAGCTATATTAGCGAGGCAGACGAACGTGCCCGAGCAGTAAAAACGGCAATTTTGCGTTACATATGTTTGGTACAAGTTCTAGTCTACCGAAAATGTTCTGTTACAGTAGCTAAACGATATCGAGATATCAAAAGTCTAGTTGCTGCTGGTATGTCATTAGCAGGAAACTTTTTTTTTTTTTTTTTTTGTTTTCAGCAGTTCTATAGTGTAGTTCTTGTTGTATTAATCACAGGGTAGTTATACTCATCGTTTACGATAAGCATAACTATTTGTGATTTGGAAATATTGAATCGATTAGAATCTCATAAGATATCAAAACTTACGATCAAAGAAAAAATAAAAAAAGCTGTGTTAAGAAAATTTTGAAATATAAAGTACAAAAAATGTAGAACCTTAAAAACTAACAAACAGCCAAGGTGCAACAAATTTAGGCTACTTAGAAGCATCAGAAGTTGGACATATCAACGATGAGGTATTTTGGATTCCGTTGAACTGGGCAATGTCGCTGGTAGCAGAAGCGCGTAATCGTGGACTGATTGCTTCTGATCATGCTGTGCAACAGATTTATGATGTTCTTTTTTAACTATTGTCTACGTCTTACAACAAAAATGCTTCCCTTATTATTCGCTTTTTTCCCTGCAAAATTAAGTTGAACAAGTTACAAAAAATTACTGTGTTGGAACATGCGAATGCCTAATAAAACTCAACGTTAATGTAGGTATTATTGGAATTCTACAACTCTCAACAAACTCTCTTGGTGTATAACTGGATCCCGGTACCACTCGGCTATACACAGGTTAAAAGTTGCATTTATCTTTATTATTTCATATAAGTGAAACTCAATTAGAAGAAAACTTCTTATACTTTATTTTTTATTCACAAATATGCTAGAAAAAAAATAAACTCTAACCACAGTTTTTTTCCAGGTGGCATTTCTCACTGTGCGATGCTATTTTCTTGTCGCAGTAATCGGTCGGCAATATGTTTGGAATACACGTGAGGTTAGTGCTTATTGAGTCAACC